GGTTTCTTCACAGTAAGAGCTGTGAAAATGTGGAATAGACTCCCTCAAGAGTTGGTTCTGGCCAGCTCAGTGGATTTCTTTAAAAAGGCCTGGATTCTTTCTTGGATACACAGAATATAACTGGATATAACATTTATAGGTAAAGTTGATCCAGGTAATATCCAATTGCCTCACAGGGCATCAGGAAGGAATTTTTTTCCCTGCAGGAGCAAATTGGATCATGCTTTGCTGGGTTTTTTTGCCTTCCTCTGGATCAACTGTGGGTGTAGGATTATAACTTTTTATTTTTTTTAATGGTTGAACTGGACGGACTTTTGTCTTTTTTTCAGCCAGACTAATTATGTAACTATGTAACCTTTCCCTACTCTACCAACTTGCAAAATCCTTGGAGCCAGGGCCTTACATAGGCTTTGCCTGACCCAAGATGGCTACTAGAGTCACATGGGGCTGCAGCATCCAATTGGATAGCTTCCCCAGGAAACCATAGAGGAATCATGTACCTTTTGATTTCCTCTCCAACTGCAGTGCTGCTTTTGAAGAGTGCCATCTACCATGGACAAAGTAGACTGCACCTGCTTACAATCCTGCCAATAGCACTTTCTGCCCTAAGGTGAGAATGTCCACTCACTGTATGTCCACTCATTGCCATCCTACTCCTCCGGCTTTGCAAAATAGAGAAAAAGTTTGAATTTCCAGACTTTCCCTCTATTTTTCAAAGATAGAATAATGGAGCCAGAGGTTTAGTCTGGTCCATTTGTATCTATTTTTGTTTGATTGTGTTCTACAAGTTGTACAAGGTGCACCTGGTTTTCTCCAGGAACCTAGCTAACTTTGCAGAGAGTTTAAGGAGGGTACCAATCAGCAAAGGGAAGACATGCCCTTGTTGTAAGCAATAAGGGAAGGATCAGGCAGCATTCAGGGAGGGTCATTAGAAAGACAAGCCTTGGGGCCAGCAGCAGCCAGTCAAGATTAACAAACTGGAGGACAGGCCAAAACTGGCTTATAAGGTCCATAAAGTCAAGCAGTGGTCATAACCAGAGATGCAGAAACACATGAGCGCGGGAACTAACATAAACCTGAGCCTTGGCCTAGAAAATGAACCTATTGCTCTAGCAATGGGTGTTGACCTGAGCACAACTAAATAATGAGTTTAAGTGCCAAGTTTGACGGCGATTGGCCCTGTAGGTGCTATATCAGCCAGAAGGTAGAATTTGCCCACACTCAAAGAAGGTTGTAGCCAGATAGGAAAACCACATGTTGATAGAAGCAGTTCAATATTATTATTATTATTATACAGTATTTATATAGCACCAACAGTTTGCTCAGCGCTGTACATTATAATGGGAGACAGTACACGAGACAGTACAGTAACAATACAGTACAATACAGGAGGGGTTCGAGGGCCCTGCTCCTTGGAGCTTACAATCTAGGAGGGAGGGGATGGTGGTACAGGAGGAAATTGCTTTGGGGGATGGAGTGGTAGGAAGAGTGGAGGAGATCGGCAATTAGGTGAGGGCGGGGTAGGCTTCCCTGAAGAGATGGGTTTTCAGGGTGCGCCTAAAGGTGAGGAGGGTAGGTGACAGTCTGATGGATTGGGGTAGTGAGTTCCAGAGGATGGGGGAAGCCCCGGAGAAGTCCTGCAGATGGGCATGGGAGGAGGAGACCAGGGACCTAGAGAGTAGGAGGTCTTGTGAGGAGCGGAGAGTACGTTTTGGGTGGTATATGGATATCAGGTCGGTGATGTAGTTTGGGGCAGTGTTATGGACAGCTTTGTACGTCAATGTTAGTAATTTGAATTTTATGCGTTGGGCAATTGGAGGGATTGGCAGTGGAGGGATTGGCAGAGGGGGGTGGCGGATACGGAGCGGTTAGTAAGGTGGATTAGTCTGGCCGCAGAATTCAGGATAGACTGAAGCAGGGATAGCCTGTGATGAGGTAAGCCGGTGAGGAGGGAGTTACAGTAGTCAAGTCATGACATAATAAGGGAGTGAATGAGTGGCTTAGTTTCTGGAGTTAGGAACGGACATATTTTGGAGATGTTGCGGAGGTGGAGTCTACATGAATTAGTCAGCGATTGGACCTGGGGCTGGAAGGACAGATTGGAGTCTAGAATGACACCTAGTACTCTGGCTTGCAGGGTGGGACTGATGGAGGCGTTGTTGGTCGTGATGGAGAAGTCGGGGGGGGGGGGGGGGGGGGGCGCGGGGCTGGGGGGAAAACTAGGAGCTCGGTTTTGGACAGGTTTAATTTGAGGAAGTGGAATGACATCCAATCTGATATGTCATTCAGTAGGCTAGTGATTCGGGCAGAGACTGAAGGGGTGAGGCTAGGGGTAGAGAGATAGATTTGCCTGTCATCAGCATAGAGATGGTAGTTGAAGCCGTGGGAGTGTATCAGTTGGCCAAGGGAGGAGGTGTAGATGGAGAAGAGAAGGGGCCCGAGGACGGAACCTTGAGGGACCCCAACAGAGAGGGGGAGTGAGGGGGAAGTGGCAGCGTTATAGGTAACACTGAAGGAGCGTTGTGATAGATAAGAGGAGAACCAGGAGAGAGCAGAGTCTCTGAGGCCAAGAGAGTATAGTTTTTTGAATAGTCTACCCTGTCGAAAGCCGTGGAGAGGTCGAGGAATAGGAGCACTGAGTAGTGGCCATTAGCTTTGGCGGTTAGCAAGTCGTTGGTGATTTTGAGTAGGGCGGTTTCGGTGGAGTGTAGGGGACGGAAGCCAGACTGTAGGGGATCAAGGAGGTTGTTGTCGGTGAGGTGGGAACTCAGGCGATTATAGACTAAGCTCTCAAGGAGTTTGGATGTAAATAGACAGGCAATATTGTTGCCTGTCTGTGAAAGTGGGCTTCTCATGTGTGTTACCAAACACAATTTCCCATGTATTGGATTAGTAAATGACCCCTCCCCCCCTCCCTTGTATACATGTTGACACACTGAGATTTCTCTTTTATAATATAGAGAACTTTTTCCAATCAAGCAACCTTCCTTCTGCAATTCCCCAAATCCCTTCCATGCATGACATCTGTGAGTGACATCTAGCCAGGGGGGGCACATATGCTGCAGCTCCTGCCACCTCGCCGAGTGGCTAAACAAGATAAATTGCTTCTCTGCGGAACACAAAGGGGAGAAAGTAACAAATTGTTTTCAATATTTCACTGCAAGAATGGCTCTGTTACTTGTATACTCATCGTCATAGTTGAGTTGACCCGGATTCCTGATAACTCAGCACCTCCTGGCCTGAATTCTACAGTCTCTCTAAACTTGGTGACATCAATTATATGCAGCTGCACAGTACAGAGAAAAGGGGTGACACGAGCCCGGCAATATACAATCCATCTCCAAACATGAAAAGGAGGAGGCGAGGTGGAAGCTCTACGTGAAACCTTCTTAAAGGGGAACTCTAGCCATATAGCTAAATACACCTTGGATAACATAGATAGAAAGATTTTCTTAAAGTACTGTTCATAGTTTTGTTATTTCCAGTCTTAATGTACCTAGGGCTGTTGGAGGATGAGAGAACGTTTTAGAATTCTGTGCCACTTCTCAGGTCTCGCGTCACTGCCCGACCTCCGTGTCATTGCCCAATCTCCTGAATGCTCTTTAATTTGCTAGTGGAAACATTAGCACACTGGAAGTGCCCATGTGGACTGCTTTCCCTCAAGTCCACCCCCTACTGCCCACCTTCTTATATAGCAGGAACACCCACTGCAAGCATGATTTCAGCTTTTGGCTGACAAATGGCAAATTAACGCGTAGACAGCCAAAATATTTTTTTTTGCTTTGGATAGATTTGGGAAGGATTAGAACTCCTGATGGGTTTTATTGCTATCTCATAAGGAAATCAACAATCTCTGCTCACAGTGAAGGTTTTGAAAGTCTACTTATTACAAAGTAGAGGTGAAAAGTAGAAAGACTAAAGCATGAGGAGATCCATAGACATGGCAGTTGTACCATGTCCGACCTCCGTGTCATTGCCCAACCTCCGTGTCATTGCCCAATCTCCTGCCTGCTCTTTGATCTGCTAGTGGAAACGTTAGCACATTGGAAATGCCCATGTGGACTGCTTTCCCTCAAGTCCATCCCCTACTGCCCACCTTCTTATATAGCAGGAACACCCACTGCAAGCATGATTTCAGCTTTTGGCTAACAAATGGCAAATTAATGTGTAGACAGCCAAAATATATTTCTTTTTGCTTTGGATAGATTTGGGAAGGATTAGAACTCCTGATGGGTTTTATTGCTATCTCATAAGGAAATCAACAATCTCTGCTCACAGTGAAGGTTTTGAAAGTCTACTTATTACAAAGTAGAGGTAAAAAGTAGAAAGTCTACAGCATGAGGATATCCTTAGACATGGCAGTTGTACCATATCCTACCTCCGTGTCATTGCCCAACCTCCGTGTCATTGCCCAATCTCCTGCCTGCTCTTTGATCTGCTAGTGGAAACGTTAGCACATTGGAAATGCCCATGTGGACTGCATTCCCTCAAATCCACCCCCTATTGCCCACCTTCTTACATGGCAGGAACACCCACTGCAAGCATGATTTCAGCTTTTGGCTGACAAATGGCAAATTAAAGTGTAGACAGCTAAAATATTTTTTTTTGTTGCTTTGGATAGATTTGAGAAGGATTAAAACTCCTGATGGGTTTTATTGTTATCTCATAAGGAAATCAACAATCTCTGCTCACAGTGAAGGTTTTGAAAGTTTACTTAGTTACAAAGTAGAGGTAAAAAGTAGAAAGACTAAAGCATGAGGAGATCCTTAGACATGGCAGTTGTACCAAGATTCTGACCTCTTGACCAAGCAAGAGGCTTTTAAGCTCCATATCTGGAGAATTGCAATGTAGGACCCTGCCAACTCAAAAAATAAACATTTTACATATTACATCATTTACTTAAGAATATGTACATGCAGCATATTATTAGATACAAGAGACATTCATTTCTGCTATCTTGGAACTTGACCCACCCAGGGACGGACTAACCATTTGGCAACTTGGGCCCGAGGTCAGTAGGGGGCCCCGTGAGATGCCCCTGGTACCTTTTTCATAGGCTTTTTTGAGTTTGGCCAAGGACACAGGGGCCCCATGATCCCCTATTGCCCCGGGGTCCCATGAGTTGTCAGTCCACCCCTGGACCCACCTATAGACTCCCAAATGCCTTATTGAAGAATAAGCAGTCTATTTTTCTCTGTTCCACAATACAAAATTCCAAGAATCCAATTAACAGTCATCTGTTCTAACAACATTTCTCCTGCCAGGTCACTCTAGCAAACATCCCTTTTATCATATAATTAATCCAACATTAGATTTAAGCACTTAGCAATGTAATTTATTATTCCTTAAAGCATATAGTATTTTTTCTTTATCATGTCTATGTCCCCACTGAGAAGACTTATCCACTCTGTTGTTGCAACCACTGTGCCAAAACAAAAATTAATGGAAAATCCAAAATGTTTGAGCTAACCCCAGAACAAAGGTTGAGAGGAAATCTCCTGGACACTCGATCTGGTCACGTTTATCTAAGAGGGCAATTTCCCATGGCTGCTCTGGGATGGAAAGTTAAGGGAAATCTCTCCAATGGGACACAGCAAAAAATAACCTGTCAAGGGGTTAAAATCATCCCTACTCTATCTACAAATTAGAGGTCATTATTCAGACTGGTTTGAAAAAATGATGTGACTTTTGAAGGAATGCTTTGCTAACTTAAGCCCCATACACACGAGCCAAATATCAACTGGTATCGGCTGGTTTAATGGAAACTGTCCCACACTCGGCCCCTGTGTATACCAGCCAGTCTCTGTGTATACCAGCCTGTCTCTGTGTACACTAGCCTGCCTGGCAGAAGCCAGCCGAAGGGTTGGCTTCTGTTGAATGGGCATGCTGGAAAGCCACCATCAGATTGGCATTCGATCAGTGCTGGCAGCCATGCGAGCGCTAACCGGTGTGACCTGGCGGTGCGGGCACTTCCCCCTGTCAAATCACAATAGCTCAGCGGGGAGATTGCTGTACTAACATTGGATAATTAGTACAGCTAGCTCCTCCCAAGCTCTTCAGCAGGCTGAAGGAAAAAAAAAACCTGATAGTGGGTACCCAGCATAAGGGGAGTGTTATATCTATTAATAAAAGAATACCCATAAATGTGTGCTTCTGTAACAAATCATCATATGTGTTTGTTGTGCTTTCTATCCATCTATTAAAGGTAGAGTTTTCACTCTTAAACCCAAAAATAAAATTGTATTATTATGCAACTTACCACTATTTAAATGTGATGGCTGCATTAGTTTTTTTAAGGATTTTTCCCTTTATTTTCAACTGGCGATGTATTTAACAGTACCCTCCCTCCTAGACTGACAATGCTGTTGTGTCCCAAAGATGTTTAGTAAGGTTGAGGTCAGGTACTGATGGTGGATGAGAAGACCTGGCTCACAATCAGCATTTCAATATATCCCAAAGGTGTTCAGCAGGGTTAAGGTCAGGTACTGATGGTGGATGAGAAGACCTGGCTCACAATCAGCATTTCAATATATCCCAAAGGTGTTCAGTAGGGTTAAGGTCAGGTAATGATGGTGGATGAGAAGACCTGGCTCACAATCAGCATTTCAATATATCCCAAAGGTGTTCAGTAGGGTTGAGATCAGGTACCCTACTGAACAACTTTGGGATGAATTAGAACAATGATTGTGAGCCAGGTCTTTTCATCCACCATCAATACCAACCCTACTGAACACCTATGGGAAGAATTAAAATACGTATTGTAGGCCAGGTCTTCTCATCTGATATCAGTACCTCAGCTCAACCCTACTGGACACCTTTGAGATGAATTAGAACAATGATTGTGAGCCAGGTTTTCTCATCCACCATCAGTACCTCACCTTAACCCTTCTGAAAGGCTTTGGGATGAAAGGGAACAATGATTGTGAGCCAGGTCTTCTCATCGACCATTATTACCTTATCTCAACCCTAATGAAGACCTTTGGGAAGAATTGGAATACTGATTGTGAGCCAGGTTTTCTCATCCAACATCAGTACCTGACCTCAACCTTACTGAACACCTTTGGGAACGATTGGAATACTGATTGTGAGCCAGGTCTTCTCATCCAACATCAGTACCTGACCTCAACCCTACTGAAGACCTTTGGGAAGAATTGGAATACTGATTGTGAGCCAGTTCTTCTCATCCAATGTCAGTTGGATGGGAAGAAGTGGCTCACAATTAGCATTTAGCTCATTCCAAAGATGTTCAGAAGGGCTGAGGTCAGGACCTGACTCCATTCAGCGTTCCGATTCATCCCAAAGAGGTTTAGTGGGATTGAGGTCAGGGCTACGTGCAGGACACTCAAGTTCTTCCACATCAAACTGGCCACACAATGCCTTCATTAAGCTGGCTTTGTATACAGGGGCGCAATAATGATGGAACAGAAAAGTTCCTTCCCCAAACTGTTACTACAAGACTGGAAGTGTACCGTTGTCCTCAATGTCTTTGCATGCTGTAGCATTAACAGTACCCTTCACCTGAACCCAATCATTTGGCGGGGGAGGGTGTGTCACATATATTGGCTATGTATTACAGGTGTAATCAAAAACATTTTTTGGAAATTTTTCTCTTTGTCCTGAGAAGTTGGAAAGTTCTTTCATAACATTAGCTCCCAGGGCAGCGTTTATCGCCATGAAAAAAGCAAATATCTCAGAGGTGTTGTTTTATTCCAAGAACATATTTATCTGTCCAACCTTAAGGCTGGGTTCACATATATGCAGTGCGGTATATCGCATGTGATTCGCACAGGAACCGCACCGCATTCCTGTGCAAACCACATGCGATTTGTGTGCAGTGCGATTGGAGCCATACATATTGTATAGCTCTAATCGCACGGCACCAAAAACGTGCAGGACCCTTTTTTTTTGGTCCGCACTAGAATCGGATTTCATGGGTATTCACACCTAAGTGAACCGATTCTGCACATCGCACCGCATTTTGCGGACTGCTTTTGGGATGTTGTTAACTTAACATACACCCCCGCAGCTGTTCGCATGAATGGGGTATGATTCTGATGCGGTGCGGAATTCGCACAGAAAACGCTGCAAATTCTGCACCGCATCAGTGTGAACCTGGGCTAATTGTAGTTTTACATCTGAAACTGCCTGAGAGTGACAAGCGTTAAATTGCACACCATATAATAAAAATCTGATTATTAACGTTTTATTAGGCATAGGTCCAACCATTTTAGGATGTTGGTTCTGCTCTCTTCTCTGGATATCCAGCATACCTAACTGTTGTACTGCACACTGACATGAGATAAATGGCTCACGCCTCGTCTCATTATATTCTCAGTAAGATAACATGATCACACTGCTCTCAGAAAAAGGCAAAGATCGCCGCTTGAAGATTGTCTGCCTTTATGGATGTTTTAATATCGTAAAAGGAAAAATTTGAATTCTGATCCTGATCGCAACTAGATCTGTGTGGTCATATCTTGTGATTTGTGGCTGGTTATTTACATGGATCAGAGAGACGTATCAGTGAAGCAGCTTAGGCTGGAGGTCTGCTGTTTCTGAGCGACATTAGACCTGTCAGGTCTTACCTAGAGGCGAGAGGCCATCTATGAGCACCAGGGGCGGACTGACCATTTGGAAACTCGGGCACTGCCCGAGGGCCCAAGGTCAGTAGGGGGCCCCATGAGATGCCCCTGATACCTTTTTCATAGGCTTTTTTGAGTTTGGCCAAGGACACAGGGGCCCCATGATCCCCTATTGCCCAGGGGCCCATGAGTTGTCAGTCCGCCCCTGATGAGCACATCACTGCCCGAGGGCCCGGGGTCAGTAGGGGGCCCCATGAGATGCTCCTGGTACCTTTTTCATAGGCTTTTTTGAGTTTGGCCAAGGACACAGGGGCCCCAGGATCCCCTATTGCCCGGGGGCCCATGAGTTGTCAGTCCGCCCCTGATGAGCACAGTGCTGGTTTGCACGAAGATTCGCTACGTTTGAATAATAAGAACACGTGGAGCTTCATTTTACATATTCAATGGTGAAGCACGTTCAGGGGCAGATTGACCATTTAGAAACTCGGGCAGTGCCCGAGGGCCCGAGGTCAGTAGGGGGCCCATGAGATGCCCCTGGTACCTTTTTCATAGGCTTTTTTGAGTTTGGGCAAGGACACAGGGGCCCCATGATCCCCTATTGCCCGGGGCCCCTGAGCACGTTTATGGATTTTATTATATTTAACCACTTGCCGCCCAGCCTATGGTAAAATGAAGGCCAGGCGAATAGCTCGTCCTTCTGGGAGGGCATCATATGACGTCCTTCCCAGATCGCGCATTGCACATGCCCGCAGGGCCGCACTGCGGCAAGATCTGTCACTGACCATGTACCTCGGACACGGCCGATGACAGATCTGTGTACCGGCTCCATTGCCAGCACCATGTGACACCTGCTGTGACCAATCACAGCAGGTCACATGACAGTTGTATACAATGGATGGCTTCCTTTCATGCCATTCATTGCATACAACTGTGTCTAGCTGTGAATGGTTACAGCGGTCACATGCACAGGCTGGGCCAATCACAGCCCATTTGTGTCATGTGATTAGCCGGATCACCCTCACTTAAGATGGCCGCCGGTGAACTTCTGGTGGTGCGTGCGCAATCCGCGGGCGGAGAAGAGGCCAGTATTGGCACTTTCGCCCAAGGATGATGACGCACTGCCGGTGCCTGAGTTCGGTGTGAATCTCCTATCACCGTCACTTAAGATGGCCGCCGGTGAACTTCTGGTGGTGCGTGAACAATTCGTGGGGCATAGAAGAGGCCAGTATCGGCACTTCCGTCTAAGGATGATGAGGCATTGCCAGAGTTCGGTGCTAATCTCCTATCACCCTCACTTAAAATGGCCGCCGGTGAACTTCTGGTGGTGCATGCTCAATCCGTGGGTAGAGAAGAGGCCAGTATTGGCACTTCTGTATAAGGATGATGATGCATTGCCTGAGTTCGGTGCGAATCTCCTATCACCCTCATTTAAAATGGTCGCCAGTGAACTTCTGGTGGTGCATGTTCAATCCGTGGGTAGAGAAGAGGCCAGTATTGGCACTTCTGTAT